ACATGCCATGCCAGCCCCACCCCCAGGGTGGGCTGAGCTGACCATAAAAAAGAAAAAAATAAAGGAAACATTTAAAAAAAATAGCTAAATAAACTACTGTATCAAACAATGTGGGAAAACACTTTTTAATTAAAGTGACTAGTAGTTGATGAAATTGTGGTGACACAATCCCATTCCTTTCTCTCTCCCTGCCTGATATTCAGAAGAAACCAGGCAGAAAATTGACTGTGGGCCCAAGGGATGTTAACTAGAATGATTGTCCATTTTCCAGGGAGACTTCTGGGCTTGTGCTCCTCTCCAGTTGTCCCCAGACAGCGAGCCGTCTCCAGAAGTTCTTCATCCATTCGAGGAGAGCCCACAGGCCCACGGCCACCTACTGGTAAGCAGTGCTGGGAGGCTCCTAGGACAGTGGGGTGGTCCCCAAAGACCAGTCTGTAACTCCTGTGCCCACTTCCCAGGGCCGTTACCAATGGGATCCCAGATGCTTCTGAGGGGCAGATCCTCGCAGCGCTGGCCCTGCAGCATGTTGATGGTGTCAGTGTTGTAAGTTAGGGTCAGCAGGGAAGAGGTGGGTCCCTCTAGGTGTGTTGCCCCACATGGGTAGGCAAGTGACACTGCCTGAATGTGGCCTGTCCTCAAGTCTGCAGAGAGTGGGAGACCTGGGATGTTGCTCTACATGTGTGCTCAGTTTTGGCTGGTTCCATAGGCAATTCCAGTGAAGTCTCCATCTCGAAGAGATATCCTGGAGGGTGTCAAGAGAACCCGCAGCCACTTCCGTGTAATGGCCACAGGCTCTGGCTGTGCCCTGATCCAGCTTCAGCCCCTCACAGGTGGGTCTGGAGCCCCAGGCAGCCTTTAGAACAGCTTTTGGGTCAGGGAGAAAAGGCGAGGATGACTCAGCAGCAGCCTGGGGAGAATCTGAAGGACCCCACAAGGACACGGCCAGGCCCAGCCAGTGGAGGCAGCTAGGCTTCCACATGTACAGCTCAGCTCCACATAGGAGTAGCTCTATCCTGGGCAGCTTCAGCCATCTAAGGGTGTGGCCGCAGGCTGGTGGTTGGCAGCCCCCACTGGTCCTGGCCTGCTCCATGCCCCTCTGTGGAGGCAGTCACCTTGCCACTTACCTGGGACCTGCGTATAGGACTGGTGTTTTCCCAAGGGTAAGGGGGACACCACCACCTGACCTGTCTCTCCTGTCATCCAGCGTTCCCCAGTCAGCTGCAGATACACATGATGTTACAGCTCTGCCCTGTGCTGGGGGACCACACCTATTCTGCTGGAGTGGGCACTGTCTTGGGCCAGCGCTTTCTATTGTCTGCAGAGAGCACCAAGCCTCAAACACAGGTACCCAAGGCCTGCCCCTCCCAGGGCGGGGCTGGGTGGGGTCACTGTGTAGCTGGGGGCAGGAGGTGATCCGATCTGATTAGATCCAGTCCATTCATCCTCTTCTTGCTGTGGCTCGGGAAAGTGAAAGCCCTCAGGCCTCCTGCAGCCCATCTGAAGCCTCTGACTTCCCCCCTTTGAGTCTATGTGGGATTAGGAACAAAGAGGTTGTACCAGAGTATCAGTGTTTGCTCTCCCTAAGAGAGAGATCCCAGCTTTGTCCGTGGGGTGCTGCTCCCCTGGTGGTAATCTGGAGATGGGGTAGCCTCAAGGTTGGCTCCACCCTTCACATGGGACGGTGGGCTGTGGCTGTCTAGCCAGACAGGGGTAGTGGAGGGCTTCAGAAATTCCTTCCTTTGCTTTCTGACCAGCTGACACATGGCTACTGGGGTTGAGAGAATGGATTAGGGTTGGGTGGAACTGTGTTCCCAGGGAATATTTTCTGGTGAAGCCCTAAGACGCAGTGAGAATGTGTGTGGAGGGAGGTGGACTGAGCCTTGCTAGGCTGCCAGGGGGTGGAAAGTGCGCAGCCATGTTGGAGTTGGAGTGCTTGTATCTACCCTCCCCCCCAGGCCTTGGATGACACCCTCCTCAGACGCCTCCGCCTGACCCCTGCCCAGGCCGCACAGCTACCCTTGCATCTGCACCTGCACCAGCTGCTCCTCCCGGGCAGCCGGCCTGCTGATGCACCTATTGAGCTGAAGGCACCCCTGCCCCAGTATTTCTCCAGGACCTTGTGGTGTCTGGGGCTCTGCCAGCAATAGTCTCCTCTGTGCTACCCCCAGAAAGCAGGAGATGGAGGCCTCCGGCCAGGCCCAATGGGCTACGGTCATTGTCAGCTGCTCGAAGGCCATGGCTTACGGCCCAGCTCTGTGTCTAGGCAAACCCAAGAAGCAGGTTTTGGGATATCAGGCAGGTGACTGCTCTGTGGACTTGAAATAATAAAAGTTCTGACCTTGTGGTCTGGTTGTCATGTGTTTTTAAGACAGGGTCCCACTGTGTGACCAGCTGACCTCCCACTAGTGGTCCTGTCCTCTGCTCCCCACTGAGCTGTGTCCCAGCTCTTCTTCACTATGTTTGAGTACGTGTGGCATTCAGTACCCTTAAGTTGTTGTGTACTTAACACGTGACCATCACTTCAGATGTATTCATTTTGTTAAACCCGGTCCATGAAGCACTAACTTGCTGTGTTCCTCACACCCAGCTCCAGTAGCCACCATCTATCTCTATGAACTTTGCTAGTACCTCATTTACATTGTTACATCTTTTAAAGAACTTAGTGGCATAGGCCTGTAATGCCAGCCCTGGGAGGCTGAGGCAGGTAGATCACAAATTTGAAGTCATCCTGGGCTATGTGGTGAGTTTGTCTCAAAAAATTTAAAGTTTTAAAACTTGTGACTGAGTCTAGTGCCACATACAATCCCAGGCTGAGGCAGGAAGATTGCTGTGAGTTTGATCTCTTGATTTAAAGACTAATGATGAAGTGACATCCACAAAGCCCCCACTTAGGCCACAGAATAGGCAGTGCTTCTCTATCTTCTCAGAGTAGCAATTAACCCTGCCCCAACATTAAAATCTAGCCCCCACTCCTAGCTTAAATCCACATCCCTACCATGACACTGTCCCCCAAAACCTGGTTTAATGGGCCTCATGTACAGATGTTAGAATCAACCTTTTTGTTTTTTTTTTCAGTGTTCAGGCTGGAAGCTATGGTCACGTACATGCTAAGCAGGCACTGTAATGCAGAGCCAGTGTCTTTTGTTTGTATGTATTTGTACTGGTACAGAGTCTCACTAAGAAGCCCAGACTCAGCTCAGGCTCAGAGTGATCCTACCGTTTGTGGCCTCCCCAGTGCTGGGTTATAGGCATGTGCCATCACACCCAGTCTCAGTGGCTCAGTGCGCCCAGGGCAGGGCCAGTGTTTTAAAAGTTCTCCAAGGAGTTGTGTTTAGTCTGGGTTGGAAACTCCAGCCTTGGCGGAGAAGGATTCTCTCTATGCTCTCCAAAGTTACTGGGAGGCTGAGGGAAGAGGATTGCACTGAGTTCCGGGCCAGCCTGTCTCCTCACACAAATTTTACCATGTACTTAGGTTTCCACGAAAGGACTCCCACTGTACCCATTCTCTTGGGACCTGCTCTCTCCACTCATGTCTATGCTGTGCACACGCAGCTGGAGCCCCAGAACTTGAGCAGACCGCGGGCACCAGTTCCCCGTCTCTGGGCAGTGCCTCCCTGCTTGGCTGTTGTGCGGTGCTGCTGTGAGCCTGCTGGTGTTTTTCCAGCTCCAGGCATGCAGGAGTCAGTTACAGTGTCCAGTCTGACTAGGACAGATGTTTCCTAGAGCTACCCTGACAAATTGTCACAATCAAGTGGTCTAAAACCACGATGTGTTCTCTCAGCTCTGGAGGCCACAGGTCCAAGCTGTGCTGGGGCTTCCGGAAGAAGGCATCTCATTTCAGCTCCAGCTGCCAGGTGGCTTGTGGCCAACTCACAGCAGTCTCTACCTCCAGGTCTTTCTTCTTCCTGCCTTTCCTTCCTCTTTTCCTCTCACACCTTTATTTTGAGGGGAAGGTGTCCTGGGGATTGAACTTGAGGTGTAGCATAGGTTAAGCACCTGCACTGCCATTGAACTATACCCCCAGCCTCTGCCTCTAGCTTCCCATAGATTTTGCAGGAGTTAGGAATACACCACCTTGGCCCACTGACTTATTTCAGGGTAGACATTTGAAAGACCACTCTGACTATGGGCCTGTTGGCATATAACTGTAATTCCAGCACTTGGGAGGCTGAGGCAGGAAGAACAATGTGAATTTGAGGCTAACCTGGGCTACATAGTGAATTCAAGACCAGCCTGTAGTACAAAGTAAGACCTTGTCTCAAAAAACTGAAAAAGAAAAAGATCACTTTAACCTTTGTGCCATTTCTTTTTCTTTTTTCATTTTATATATTAGATACAGGGTCTTGCTGCACAGCTTGAACTCCTAGTGGTCCTGTTTTCAGCCTCCCCAGTGCTGGAATTACAGGTGGGCACCACCATGCCCATACTCTGTCACAGGCTCAGCGCACTCCAGGGGCAGGGCCAGTGCGACATGCTCAGGACCAAGGATAGAACCCTGGTCCCTGAGCTTGCCAAAGCAGGTGCTTAGTCCACTGAGCTGTCTCGCTGGCCTATGCCATCTCTTAAAAGCACATGAGATTCCCACATGAAAGGTGCTCTTCTTTGGAGGTTGGAGGTTAGAAGAGGAGGAAAAGGGGATAGAAAAAGGAATTAAGGTATGCTATGTACATGTACCAACTCCCCATGACAGAAGTGATTATGCATCATAAACGTGCTATGTAAATATTTTTTAAAAATAAAAAAAAAAAGATGTTCTTTGTACACTAGCAAGATACTACATTTTATCCTGAAGGATGCAAAGTCAAAACCCAGAGAATTCTGTGCAGACCTTGTTAAAATAATTCCTGGGCTGGGGTGTAACTCAGCAGTAGAGTTACGCATTTAGTTAGCATGCACAGGTCCTAGGACTGAAAAACAAAATTGATTTATGTGGGGTCTTTTCTAAGACATGGTCTCAAGTTGTGATCGTTCTGCCTCAGTCACCATGCCTAGCTAAACTTACTTTTTTTAAAAAAAAATTTATTTATTTGTGTGTGTGTGTGTGTGTGTGTGTGTGTGTGGCCAGCTCAGCCCACCAGGGGGCGGGCCTGGCTGGCATGTGGTGCTGGGGGATTGAACCGCAGTCCCTGTGCTTTGCTAAGCTTGTTCTAAGTAGGCGCTTTAGACCACTGAGCCATCTCACCAGCCCCTAAACTTACTTTTTAAAAAATGAAAGTAAAGCTAGACAAACCAGGCGTGGTGGTGTATGCCTGTAATCCCAGCACTTGGAGGTGGAGTCAGGTGGATCACTGCAAAATTCAGGAGGCCAGCCTGGGCTAGATAATGAGAATTCAAGGCCAGCCTGTACTACAAAGTGAGAGCCTATCTCAAAACACAAAACATGGCCGGGGAGATGGCTCAGTGGCATAAGTGCTTCCCTGGCAAGTGCAAGGGCCTGAATTCAATCCCCGGTTCCGAAAAAAAAAAAACACTTGTTTGGTCCAAGGTAATTCTTCTGTGGCTGCTTGTAATCTTATTGGTTGATTGTAATTTGACCCATATTCTATCCACCCCTCCGAACTTTGCTCTAAAATTTCCTTGTTAGCAACCCATTTGGGACCCCCTCCTGTTTCTCAGGAGTTGTTTCTATTCCCCATTCTAGTCCCCAATAAATTTCTCTGCTCTTTAAAAAAAAGAAACAAGAAAGCTAGATGTGGTGGCTCATAATAATCCCAGCCTTCTGGGAACCCAGCCTGGGGGTAACTAAGCACCTTAGAGTGATGGACATCTCAAGAGAATGGAGCGTAGCTCAGGTGCAAAGGCCCTGGGTTCAATCCACAGTAAAACAAAGTAAAATAAAAATGATGAAGTAAGACTGTCCAAGGGGCCGGGGAGATAGCTCAGTAGAGTAAGCGCTTGCCTGGTAAGTGCAAGGGCGTGAGTTCAAACCCCGGTTCTGAAAAAAAAAAAAAAAAGACTGTCCGAGACAGAATGGTGGCGTGCGCCTGTAATCCCAGCTCTTGAGAGGCTGGAAACAGGAGGATCACTACAAGTCTGATCTTAAGTAGGGAGACCCTGAACACTCTGTAGACCCTTCCCTAAAATACAAATAAATAAATAAAAGTAAGACTGTCCATATAAATAATTTGCTTCTTTACAATTACTCTCTGTTCAATCCAGCATTATAAGTAACTGATTGTAATCGCTCTTTGGTTCTTCATTTATGAGGATTCCTTGTCATATGAGCTTATACTAAATAAATTCTTACCTTTTTCTCCTATTAGTATGTCTCACATAATATAATCTCAGACCCAACCAGGGAAGATGAAAATAGAATTTTTCCATCCCTGCACCTTGCCTCATCTCATCTGATTTTTTGCGGGGTAGGGGTACTGATGTTTGAACCAGGGCCTCTTACTGAGCTACATCCTAGCCACCAGCTTCCTTTTGAGGCAGTTTCACTAAGTCACCTATATGGGACTCAAATTTGAAATAGCCTCAGGCTCTCAAGTGCTGGGGTTAGAGGAGTTTGCCATCAGCTCGGCTTCTTCTGACTCTTACAAGGACACTTGTTGGGTTTGGGGGACCTCCAGATAATCCCAGATGCTCTCATCTCATCAATTGAACTGCACCTGCACGACCCCACCCAAGCACACAGTCAAACTTTAGATGTGTCTTGGGGGCACCATTCAACCTACTACCACCAGGAGATGCTGGACTTTGTAATGTGGGTGTGGCATGAAGGTTTCAGTCTTAGAGATTTGGACTCCTCACAGAGGAAGGGAAGGACTTGGACTCATCCTCAGGAGGAGTGCTGAGTTCAGGCAAGGTGATCCTGCCCCACCCCTCCTGTCTTTATGTCCCAGTGCCTGTCACCCAGCCAGTCCAGCTTGTCCTCTGGGTCTGGGGGGCTCCTGGTGGCCAGCAGAAGGCCTCCACCTTCCACTCACTGACACGAGGTTTTGGGCAAGCCAAGCTCTCCAGATCCCAAGCTCTCCGTCTTCCAGAGTCAGCTTCTCATCTGTGTAGTTCCTGCACAGGAAGTGCAGAATTTCCCTGCTGTGGATTCAGGCCTCCAGCTCTGGCCCTGGCTGGGCCTTGGGGAAGGGGCCTCCCCCCATTCCACCTCCCACCTCCCCTCCATAGCAGGGGAGCCAACCCAGAATACTCCATTTGCTCCTTTTTATTTGGCGCTGTACTCAGGAGCCAGGGTTTCTCCAGCCTCACATCCCCAGTGGCTCCCTAGGCCCCGGTGGGGGTCATGGGAGGTTCAGCCTCTTTAGAGTATGTGCCTGGGCCTTGGATTTGTCGCATGGTCTGGCCTTGAACTTGCCCTTGGCCTTGACCTTCCTAGGGGTGTTAGGAAGAGCTGCAGCTTCAAAGAACATAGGGTACAAGGCACTTCCAGGACGGGGGCCTCGAGGGCACTGAGGAGCAAAATCCTCGGTTTGAAAGGAGAGGAAAGGAGAATCAGGGGTCTGTCTGGGAAGGGAGTTCTGGGGCTTCCCTCTGCCTGCGTCCTCTAGCCCCGAACCCACTGCCTGTTGCCGCCTGTCAGGGAGTCAGAGTTTGAGGCCTACCTTTTTCAGCTTTGGAATGCTGGGCACCAGCTTGACAGCAGGGTTGGGTGGGAGGCAAATGAAAACCTTGGCCATAGGCAGAGTCAGCAAGGCCTTGCCTGTGGACGACAGGGCCTTGGAGCCCACCAGCGCACAGAGCTGCGGTTGGAGGCCCCGCCCACAGGGTCGCAGTGCAGGCAGCCGGACCCTGGGCTGGAGGCTGGGGACAGGGGGCAGGGCTGTGGAGCAAGGGACACTGTGAGGGCCAGAGGCCGAGCTCACAGCTGCCCCACAGGGTCATGGACAGGCAGATAGGGGATGAGCATAGGGCTCAGGGCCCACAGACCTGGGTCTGCATCCCGGCTTTGCCCCTTCCAAGCACTGCAACCTCGGGCAACTTCCTCACATTTCCTGCTACCTGGGCTGGAAAGTGGGACAGCACCCACCTCACTAGGCTGCTGTGAGGACAGAGGAATGGGCAGTTGTCTACTGCTAAGTGTTGTAGACCTTTCTTCCTGTAGTCCCAGGCCACTCTGCCCAGAGGCAATGGCAGAATTTTGCACCAGGGTCTGGGCCAACCCTCTCCAGCAGCCTTTCCATGTAACTACCTGGCAGGGGTCTGCTCTGTAAGGACAATACTTACTGGTCTGGATATTTGTCAAGAAAACCTGGTGAGCCACAGCTTTGACTTGGTACTGGGACTCCTTGGTGGGCAGGCAAATCAGGGTGGCTCAGAGGGGCTTGGAAAGCAACAGAAGTCACCTCCTGACCCTGGGCTGTGTAGGGAAGGTGGGGGTCTTCAAGTGCAAAGGTGGTCGGGTCTGCTTGGGGCCAGGGCTCTTTTTGCCTTGCCTTTCTTCCCCTTTCTGGGGACTGAGGTAGTGGCAGCAGAGGTCAGCTTCTCTGTGTGCCTCTGGCTCCTGGCCCCAGTAACTTTCTTAGACGCTGACCTGTGGGTAGGGGTCCCCGAGTCCTTGCCTTCCCCAGAGCCTCGCCGGGTCAGCAGATGAGGAAGCACAGGGCGGACTCCTGTCCGTCGGTGACTCAGGGCCAGGGGCTTCTTGATGGTGGAGCCCTTCACCAGGAGCCGGATGCCCACATACTGTGGCACCTCCACAGCAGGCTATAGGCAAGAAGAGGAGACAAGGCCATTCAGACAGGGGGTCAGGGACCCTTGGCCTGAGAGGATAGAGGTGGAGGTGGATGAAGCAGGTGGATGAGGCCTAGGAATCAGAAAGCCCACCTCTGTCCACCAGGGTCTCTCCAGGTATCCCTAGAGTTCCCGAGCCCCACAGCTATCCCCACTGTTGACCCTCTGCCCAAGGGAACATGTCTGTAGCTTTCCTTCCGGGGACCACCAGGGGACCACTGCCTATGCTGCACAAGGTGGACTTCCCAGGAGGAGTGAGTGCTACAGCCAGAGCAGAAACTACCAGACTCAGGACGGCAGAGGGAGCTGGGTATGGTGGCCCAAGCCTGCAGTTCCAGCTACTTGACAGGCTGAGGGAGGGTAGCCTGTGACCTCAAAACTTGAGAAGCTGAGGCAGAAGGCCCACTGTGAATTCAAGGTCAGTCTGGGCTACAAGGTAAGTTCAAGGCCAGCCTGAATTATACACTAAAACCCTGTTTCAAAAAGATCAAAAAAGGGATTGGGAGATGACTCAGTAGAATAAGCGCTTCCCTGGCAAGCGCAAGGGCCTGAGTTTAATCCCCGGTTCCACAAAAAAGATCAAAAAAAGGCCAGAAAGATAGCATCATAAGCACTTGCCCAGCACGTGCAAGGTCTTGAGTTCAATTCTCTGTACAAAAAAAAAAAAAAAAAAAAAAAGATCAAAACAAGAAAATTGCTCCGGCTGATGTCAAATTTGCTGTCCTCCTGGGTTGAAGGGAAGGTAGGAGAATGGGCAATAAAAAAAAGGAAACTGGGGCCAGGGAGATAGCTCAGTAGAATAAGTGCTTGCCTGGCAAGTGCAGCGTCCGGAATTCAATCCCCAGTACCACACACACACACACACACACACACACACACACACACGGAAAGCAAGCAAGCATAGGTACAAATTCTCTATGATGAATGTGATCACTCTGTGTATGGAAAATATACCAATAAAATCTGATTAAAATATTTTGCTACCCTTTCACTTCAACCTCCCGAGTAGCTGGGAGCATTTTACCACTCTAATAAAACAAGTAAGAACCTGGATATGGTCATGCATGCTTGTGACCCTTGCACTAATGAGGCTGAGGCAGGAGGATCGTGTTGAGTAATTTGGCTTACAACTCAGTTCAAGGCCAGCCTGACTACATAGTGAGACCCTAGCTAAAAAAAAAGATGTGATCTGAATGTAGGCAAACCACTTCATAAAGTATATGGGCCCAGCACCTCCCAAAGCCTCATGTATTTCAGTTTGGTTCCTCTCTTGTATAGGTATAGGAGGGTAGAAACTCAGGGCACTGGGCACGGGACTTGGGAGGGGATTCAGATGAGACGAAGAGCAGGAGAGGCCCAGGGGGCTTCGTGAGAAGAGATCAGCTGGACACAGGTCCACCACGGTGCTACCTGGGCTTCTACTCCCTTTCCGTGTCACTGCTGCTGTGACTCAAGGACAGCTGCACCCCACCGCCTCCCGTAATTGACAGGTGATATCTTACCCACTTCAGGACACGGCCAGCAAGGCCAGCAGCAGACATGGTCCCTTGGCCTTGCACCTCCAGAACCTCACGCTGGACGAAGCTCTATGCACTCTACGGTATTATATTACAGCAACAGGGAAGGGACTATTGCACAGAGCGTACCTGCAAGAGGAGGGCCCTGGTTCTGGGAGAAGTTTAATGGCCACTCTTTTTTGGTTTGTTCTGAGACAGCTTCTCACCATGTAGTTCAAACTGACCTTGAACTCAGTGATTCTTTGTGCCTCGGCCTTCTGGGGATTGAACCACGGTCCCTGCATGCTTCCCTAAGCTTGCCTAAGCAGGTGCTTTAGACCGCTGAGCTATCTTGCCGACACTGACAGGTTCCATCTTAACCCACTGATTCAGCATCACTGGTTGTGAGACACTGATGGTTATGTGCCCTGTGATGTCACGAAAGTCACCCAGCATCACTTCTAGTGTTTTTACCAAAAATGCTTAACCTGAACTCCATCCAGCAGCCTGGCCTAACTTCTAGTTTATGGGACATTCTGATAACAGGAGATCAGAAGACCAAGTTAGACAACATCACAAGAAACAATCAGATAAATCCAGAATGTGGGACAGTTCTACCAAACAACCAGCCAGGCCCTTTTCCAAGATCAAATGATAGGAAAGCAGTGGAGCCGCCCCAGATTAAAGATACAAAACTGCCAGTGCAGGGTGGAGCCCTGATTATGTAGGTCTAAAACTCAGCAGTGAAGGACATTCAGGGGACATTTAAAAAGTGCAAATACACTGGGGGACAGCCCTTAGCTCAGTTGTTTAAGCGCCTGCTCATGCCAACGCAGTCAGGAGCAGGATACCGCAAGTTTGATCCCCAGCTAGACCTGCTGCTCAGGCAGCCTGAGTGAGC